GGCAGAGGCTTGGCAAGGACACGGGTCCACTCTCAGCACTGCCTCCAATGTACGAAGGGCTTCTCTGAGCTGGCAGCACGCTCAGTGTATTTCCTGGAGGGAGTTATGGCGTGCCGGTGAGGAGCCCCCCCCCGCCCTCCAGTAAGGGAGGCAGGGAGGTAAAGAGCGGGACCGACCGGAGCGCCATCAATCCTGAGACTCTGAGCGCCGCCGTCATGGACCCAAGCATTCAGGCTCTGGAGCTTTCAGGGGTGTTCTTCTCGGCTGCGGCCTGGCTTTGCTCGCTGGCTACCACCCTGATGTCCACCTGGCTCACGCTGTCCACCGAGCTGCTGCCCACCGAGAGCTACGAGCTGGGGCTGTGGGAGACCTGCGTGGTCCAGGAGCTCGGAGTGCTGGAGTGCCGGCCCTACGACGGCATCCTGGGCCTGCCGCCCGACATCAAACTGGCCCGTATCCTCATGTGTGTGACGCTGGCCACCGGGCTGCTCGGGGTCCTGCTAGCCATCCCCGGGATGCGCGTGGTCAACAGCTGCCACGACCGGCTGGAGGACCTCCGCTGCAAGAGGGCCCTGAAGGCAGCGGGGGGGGCGCTGTGCCTGGTGGCCGGGATCCTGGGCCTCGTCCCGGTCTCGTACATCGCACACCTCACGGTCGTAAGGTTCTTCGACGAGTCGGTGCCGAAGGTGGTGCCGCGCTGGGAGTTCGGGGACGCCCTGTTCTGCGGCTGGACGGCGGGAGTTCTTCACCTGGTGGCAGGAACTCTGCTCCTGACGTCCTGTTTGTGTCTGCAGAGGGAAAACTGTGACACACCTGTGCACATACCTCTGGGGAAGGTGCATCCAGGACAGACCTCTATCTGGAACAGATCCGAGTACGTCTAAGACTACTTCCCACCAGGGACGCCGCCACTCTTCTCCGAACTGGTTTTATTACGTCAGTTAGAAGCTGAACTGAGACCGAATGTTTCCGACCTTTGTGGATCGAACTCTGGAAATTGAAGCCAAACAAACCAAAACATACGTACCTCACTCTCATTGTGAAAGGGTAACACAAAGTCCACTCTGTAAGTTAAAAATCATTCCTGATGAAATACTTTTAATCACAAATGAAGTCAGTGTCACTTAAAATGACTAAAGAATGATTTTGTTACTTATAAAACTGAGTTAAATGAATGAATCTGGTTTTACAGTGCAGAATAAAGGTTGTGGCTTCAGATTTTAATCAGGTTTAGACAATTAAAATGTTTGAAACAGTTTATTTTATTAGCAGCTTATTATTTTAATGAGTTCATTCTATAAATAATTCATTAAATAATAATTATTTTATAAACACAAACTGATTTAAATCCAATATTTCCAGCTGCAGGTCGACTGTTTTATGTGTGTATGTTTTTATGTCACAGTGGATCCATTCACAAAGTCTGAATGACGGTTTAAATAAAGTTTTGTGGGTTTGAAGAAAAGTTATTTCATCCTGATGCAGTTTATCATCTTTGGAAACTTTCTGATGTTTAAAGTTTCCTCCTCAGTTTCAATCATTCAGGCGTTTTGTGTTTTTCACTCAATAAAATCCCGTTTTTATGGAGCCAAAGAGACTAACGTGCTGCTGTTTCCTGTTTGATTTGTAGTTTTATAGTTATTTGTGCTCAGAGGATTTTTAAAAACATATTTAGGCCCCTTCATATCTAATGAATGAGCATTATGTTGTTTGTGTAGCGTCTCGATGGTTTATTGATCACTCAGTCATCAACAGGTTGGACAAACAATGTCTGTGTGTGAAAAACAAGCTCCTGTTTTCTGTTCAATCACTAAGCAACTATTGATTATTTATGGATTATTATTGGTATTATTGTTGGGATGCTTTGAATCAAGTTATAGATGAGCAGATGATTGTAAAGACGAGCTGCATGTAAAAAAAAAAAGATGCTTCAGAATAAAAATAAATGTCAAGTGAAATTGAACTCTGGTTGTTTTTGTGTCTGTGAGGAAATAACTGAGATAATAAATCAATATTCTGAGTTATTAAGTCATTATTTTGAGTAGTTAAGACATTATTTTAAGATATGAATTATTATTTAAGATATCAATTCATTATTTTAAGATATTAAGTCATTATTCTGAATTATTAAGTCATTATTCTGAGTTATTAAGTCATTATTCTGAGTTATCAAGTCATTATTTTAAGGTATTACATCAATATTTTAAGATATTATCTATAACAATTATATCTGAGAACACAATATCTAAAGACTCAAACGATGAACTGATGAGTGATTCATTGACTGGTTGAGTAATCAGTTAATTGATTAAGTGATGCAGCAGTACTGACCCTGCTGATTACTGCTCATTTTATAAATATTATAATTTAATACATTAATATGAATTATTCGATTTCACAGACAGAAACTTCATCCACTCAACCGTGTGTTTGATGTGTGACTCTCTTCCTCACCAAACGTCAGCGTCCCATTGGCCATTCTGCTCCCTCTAACAGCGGCCATTGTTCTGCTCTCACAATGCACTCATTATTACCCCCCAGGACCTGACTATCTGCCCCCAGACCGCAGCTGGATCCACATCAGTCACCACGGCAACCGCACCGACAACAACCGCACCGCCTGACCTGACTTCTACAACCGCATCGTCTGACTTCAACAACCATATGACTTCAACAACCACCGGACTTCAACAACCGCATCGTCTAACTTCAACAACCGCACCGCCTGACTTCAACAACCACCAGGCTTCAACAACTGCACCGTCTGACTTCAACAACCGCACCGTCTGACCTCAACAACCACGTGACTTCAACAACCGCACCGTCTGACTTCAACAACCGCACCGTCTGACTTCAACAACCGCACCATCTGACTTCAACAACCATGTGACTTCAACAACTGCCTGACTTCAACAACCACCGGACTTTAACAACCGTCTGACTTCAACAACCACCTGACTTCAACAACCGTCTGACTTCAACAACCATGTGACTTCAACAACCACCGGACTTCAACAACCGTCTGACTTTAACAACCGTCTGACTTCAACAACCACCGGACTTTAACAACCGCCTGACTTCAACAACCGTCTGACTTTAACAACCGCCTGACTTCAACAACCGTCTGACTTTTACAAGTGTCTGACTTCAACAACCATCTGACGTCAACAACCGCCTGACATCAACAACCGCCTGACATCAACAACCGCCTGACATCAACAACCGCACCGCCTGACTTTAACAACCAGCTGACTTTAACAACCAGCTGACTTCAACAACCACCGGACTTCAACAACCGTCTGACTTTAACAACTGCCTGACTTCAACAACCTGCAGCTCAGGTCAGGGTCTCCACCGAGCATCAGTCAGGGTCTCACCCGAGCGTCAGGTCAGGCGTCCTCACCCACCGAGGCTCAGGTAGGCGTCCTCACCCGAGCTCAGGTCAATGGTCGCTCACCCTGAGTCAGGTCAGGTCCTCACGCCGAGCTTCCAGGTCAGGGTCCTCACCCGATGCTCAGGTCAGGGTCCTCACCCAGCTCAGGTCAGGGTCCTCACCCGAGCTCAGCTTAGGTCAGGGTCCTCACAGTGATACAGAAACAACCAGGACAAACATGAAAGAACCGGAGCTGCAGGATCTCTCGGCTTCTCTTTTATTACTCCTTTCCTTTTTGAGACAATGGTGCCGTGATTTAGAAAAACTTGGTTTGGGGAGCGAGTCGGCAGATGGGAAGTGAACCCATCATCCTCACATTGTTTCACAGAGGCTCTCATCATGGAGCCATACAGGGAAACGCTGCCACCTCACAGCTTGCTCTGCCAGCGCTGACAAACCCTCTGCAGACCTGGTCCAGGATGCAGAACCAGGTTCTCAAACTGACACTGAAGCTCTTCTCTGGATGGTTTCTGGGGACAGCATTGGTGCCCCCCTCGGGTTTCCCCCCTCGGGTTTCCCCCCTCAGGTTGCCTCCCTCAGGTTTCCCCCCTCAGCTTGCCTCTCTCAGCTTGCCTCTCTTAGGTTGCCCCCATCAGGTTGCCTCCCTCAGGTTTTCAACCTCAGATTGCCTCCCTCAGGTTGCCCCCCCCAGGTTGCTCCCCTCAGGTTGCCCCCCTCAGGTTGCCCTCAGGCTCAGAATCGGTATCAGAATCAGAAATACTTTAATAATCCCAGGGGGAAATTACTTTCGTTACAACTCCAG